AGTCTCGTCGACTAGCCCGCACCTTAGAAATATAGCGAAAACTGTGACGAAAATATAGGTCACAACAGCTTGATTTGCATATCTATGATGTAAACTGTTGACATAAACAGGAAAGTATCTAACAACCAAGATGTTCTCGATGAAAACATCAGTAGGTTGCACGTGATCAATTGGTAAACGTTATGCAGAGGAACTTCATGCTTGGAGTAAGCTCAGCCTCCAGTCATGCTCAGGTATCAACATCTCGTCCAGCAGGATTAGGCACTGGAAAGCATTCTACCTTTCAGCCGCTTATGTAGGCACTAACTAAGGTGCTCATTTAATTCACCCTTATAAATCTTAATACTTTTTATATTAATGTAACTTTCAAACCCTAAACAGCAAAACTAAATTTAGGTTTTAGCCACTTTTTTCACACAAATCTCTACTCTTGAATATCCATTTTTCACATTATCAGTACATTCAATTATTTGATAATTTTATATATATATATATATACCTAATCAGAATTCTCGAAATCAGTCTAAGCTCTAAACGAGGTGATACCACTTCTATTACTAGTGTTGTCAGGGCGGCCTAGTTGGCTGCTATATACGTTATGATATTTCCCAGCGTCGGACCGTGAGCTTAGCACAGCATACTATGCGAAGAAAAGTTGAGTTTCGAGGAACCTCTTGTTTCATAATTGTTGAGCCTACTTGCGTTTCGAGTGAAAGTATTGGATGAAAAGAATTGAATGTCGGTTCCACCAGAATACGACGGCGGATTCCTCTTAACCAGCTGTCGATTGGCTTTACTGGAAGATTCTTGCTGACGCTGTTTCCGAGGCAATCTCCTTCGATTCCGGTGTAAAGGTTCTAAGCTTTCATGCGTCATATGACGGACATCATCAGAGCGAGGTATCATCGTCACAACAAAGTTCAAGCTAATGAGTCAAGAAAACCCACCGGCATAACTACAATGGCAGAAGACTTGGAACGAGATACATCCTACTAGATCACCCTACCAACACGAACAAGTTGTGAAAACGAGGTCAGGTAAGTTACATGCAGCGAAAAGAGAATCCGACCGAAGCAGAAGCCACTATATCCACTATATATACATATATATATATATATGAATTTTTTGAATATTTTAATTTAAAAAATTGAAAAGAAAATACCATATTTGGTATTGCAATCAGTACATTTCCCAGAAAATCTCCAAAAAACTAAAAGAGCCAGAAAAAACCCACTTTTTTAGAGAAAGGAGTTCATCAATAGTCAGCGGCACAGAAAGTAGTTCACAGATTCCGAAAGGTTGACTTCATCAGATTCTGACACTCTAATTCGATTTAGACTAAAGAAAACTAAATGGCGGCTAGCGATAAAGGGAATTTTTCAAAATAAGAGTTTTTCTTAATGCTCAAGAGTATCGTCTCGTTAATCTTTATGAGGTACTTATCTGAGATTAAACGCAAAGAAAGCATCGAGAAGTATCATTGCCAACTCCTAACTCCATGCATTTAATTGAGAAGTTGAAGAGGCTTGCAATTGAAATTGTCTAAAGATAATCAGGTAGCAGAATCAGCAGATTCGAATCTAAAAAGTCAGGCATCATAATATCTCTTTGAAGTTTACTAAAAAATCACATTAGGCATAGCTTCTTTATAGACGTCAACATATCCGGTATAAATGTGATAAAAAGCTGGCAGTTTATGCAGCTTGCAGTATATATGGATGGAAATGAGTTACTTTGACCATCGTTAATTAGTGAAACAAACAAATTCGCTACTGAAAGTTATAATCCGAATGAGAACTGGCAAGACCTACCTCGATTTCGTTTGCTCCAATATTCACTTTGCCAACAATTATTGATGGCGATAGGGAAACATCCACATCCGTACCAGCTGATTCACCAATTGGGTTGACCATGAACTGGCCATTAGTAGGCAACTCATTCAGCCGGGGACCATAAGACTGAGAAACCTCTCTATGTTCTGCCTCAAGTGAGGGATTATGGGTCCCCTGCAGAAAAGACATATTCGAACGAAGCGAAGGATAGCTGTCCGAAGCTGAAGTTTGCAAGGCCATCGCAATTTGCTGAGAAGCATGTACCGACAGAACGGAAGAAGCAGTCGATATGTTGGAGGAAGTGGAAGTAAGAGGTGAAGGTATACTGTCGGAGCACAACGAAGTTGACTGGCAGAGTGGACCGTTTGTGGAAGAATACGAGAAGTCCTAATCCAGATTGGGAGTGTATAGATTAAAATGTGTATTTTTAATGCATTAAATTATGAAAATTCTTACACATATTAAGGCAAAAGGATAGAATATAGCTTAACTTCTTATCAAATGTTCCCTATATGGCGTGTATGACAAGCAAGCCGTTTCTCGAATAAATTTGTCAAAGGTTCGCATAGTTTGAAAACAAATAGAAAAGTACACTAAAAAGCTACCAGTATTTCTTGGATAAGAACTTAGTCCTCCTAGGTCGGTCAAAGTGATTTAAGCACTGATAGCTGAGGTATTCCCAAAATGATGCGGATAGGTATCACAATCCTATTGTGTTTCACTTATTCTTAACCCCATAAGGTTGAATGCACACATACAACTGAGATCTAAATCGTGGGGACAGGTTGCTGCCTTGCTACACAGCCACGAATGCCGGTGGGTCATATGTAAGATGTGAATTTCAAAGCAATCCATTAAGTTCATAATCATATTTGCTAGTGGCTATGTCAACGTCAATGAGTTATATTCACCCTATTTCATTTAAGGTGATTTTTCCCACAATTATATGAGTAGAGTTGCATTTCACATAGCCTTGCTTTCCCAAAAGGTGTTCTCATCCAGGGTGGACTGCAGTTTCGACCTCGCTTAGGTCCCATCAACACCCCAAGCGAGAGTCGAACCATGACAGCGCAACCTGTAAGCTTGACACGATAACCCCTACGCCACATTGCCACGAATGCCCTTGGGTCAAAGATAAATGTGAATTTCAAGGAAGGCCAGGCATTTTCCCATTTCACACTATTTGGTGGGAGTGTCGATGAAGCAAAGTTATTTTTGCCATAACAACCGACTAACTTATTTATTAGAAGTTGTTTGACCTTGTTTTTTCAACTTGGTCCTATTGTGGTAGGAAGACTTAGGGGAACGCACCTGGTCCGGAGTCCATTGTATGCATCATCATTTCCAGAGTAGGACCGTGGACGTGATACATTCCCAGACGTTTCACCGGCATCGTAGTCAAAGTTTCCTCTAAGTCTTCGTACCAATATGGCCAATTTGCTAAAGCAAGGTCAA